GTTCTCTTTGAGTTGTTTGTTTTTGTTTTTTTTTTAACATAACTAAACTGCTAAAGCAAGAGGATTGGATGTAAGGCAAGTACCAGGCAGATGGAAAGGCCTGGCCCATTAACACTTTTTTCTTTAAACCTTTTCCTTTTGTTAGTGCTATTTCTGAGTGATGGACATTTTATACAGAAGCATAGTAGAGGATTTTGTGGCTGGATGTATCCCACAAGTCCTGCATTTATTTTTTACTTTCTGTGGCTAGGTTGAATTTTGTCTTTCCTTCCAGCTTATGTTAAATCTTCCTTGGAAACAATCAAATCCCTAATGTATGTCTTCTTTGAGACGTTTTTCTCATAGCTCTGTGTTCTGGAGGTAACAGCTGTCTTGACTCATCAGATCCTAGTGCCCTCTTTACTCCTTGGAACAGAAGGTAGAACCGGAGCTCGTAGGAGCTTTTAGTCTTTAACTGGAGAAATTGTGTCCTGTTTCCCTCCCACCCCGGCTGCTGCTTGTGTCTCAGCACTGCAGTCGGTCCCCATCACCATCACTTCTCTTCATGCTGCCACAGGTGGGCTTTGCGGTAAACCTGTAATGATTTCCCTTTCCTTTTTCCATAACCCCCCCCCCCCCCCCCCTTGTTTTACCCATCTCCCTTTATTTGCTAAATCTCCTTTGATTCTTTTGTTCTTTTCACCCCAGTTTTACTCTTTTATAATTTGAGATCCGTGGAACAAGATTTTTTTCTTCTAGCACATGGAGAAACTCTCCTGCTGCCTAGACAAGGATTACAGTAGTTCTGTCTTGAAATTTTAATTCCGGACTACATGGACAGGACCCGAGATGCCTCTGTTGTTATCTGTTCCTCAAAGCTATACATTAAACAAAACATGCATCTGATCAATTTAACCTGTAATTAAACATTTTCCTTAAGCAACTGACATCTTGATAACTAATAATTATCATGTGTAGCACCTTTAAAGCCTATTATGCATGTTTATGTAAGAATGTTATTACCATAATAATAAGATATCATTACCGCAAATGTGCATACTGAATGAGCATGTCGTAAAGTAATCATGCGATTCCATTAATCATACTTGAAAAATTAAAGTATTTGCTGTCTAATCTCTAAAACACTACTCAAAAGATTTTGGAAACAGCAGGACCTGTTTACTGCAAGTCTCTAATACATGATATCTCATTTCTGCTGTCTCATTTTTGTTTCCTGAATTGTTGCTTATCTTTCAGCTAGGGAAATCATTAACTCAGACACCCACGGTCTCCCACTGAAAGCATTTCCATGCTCTGATTTTTGTGCTGTTTGCCTTATTTTTTGTCCAGGCAGTGCTGCCACCTTTTCTTAAGGCTGATGTGAAATGCACTCCTGAAACTTAGTTCTCCTTGAAATTAGATAATTGCCTTAAACAAGATGGACTGATAGCTAACAGTAATTCTGTTAGTCCCTTGCACAGGGGGGAGGGAGGAAGCTATTCTTCAAGTGCCATTTGTGGTTTTTTTTTTTCTTTTAATGGAAGTTTGGAAAGTTGGGAGAGTGGAGTTTTCTGCTTTTATGTATAAATTTGTCAAGAGTGTGACAGTTTTGAGTTTGTTTCTCATATTGAAATGTTGAGCTCTGTAGGCTATCCATTTATTTTTTTCTGGAAGAGACTTGATGACCAGAGTGAAAGTTGGGAAGAAACATTTAGCCTACTAAGAAATCTGAGTAACTGAAAAGAGATCTTTTGCATGCTGTTTATATCAAATACCTGATGTGGCTAAGAGCTTAAAAAAAAAATAGTAAAATAATCTTCTAGGGTTTTTAATGATTTATTAGAAGATTCCTATTGTGGTTGGCCTAACATGATCTTTGGGGCATAGATGGCGCAGAGAGAAAGAAGGTTGTGCAGGTCTGTATGGAGTCTGCACCCCTTCCCCTTTCCTGAAACGTGCTGGTTGGGAGTTCATGGGTTGTGTCCTTGTGCGTGGTGTTGGCAATCACACTGCTCCGTGGGACCACTGTGTGAGAGCTGAAGTAAGGCAGTTGAAGAGGTTAAGAGGATAGATGGAATTGCTGGCCTTTTTCAGGCATTTACTCATCCAAGCAGAGTATCCATTTGTGCTGTTATTGTTAGAAGGGAAGAGCGAACTGTTTAATCAATGACTTTTTTCCTTGTAATTCTTTGTAAAGATAAAAAGCATGTCCTCCCTCAGTAGTTCTATCAAAACTTTTGGGAAGAAGGACTAAACGTGAAACTTGAAGCCACAGTTGTTTTATGATATCAGTTATTGTCATTATTTTGTAGTGTATTTTGATCACGCAGAAGGAATTAACCCAAGGTTTTCAGACTAAGAATGCCTTTTGCAGTTTTACAGTTGTCCAGTAGGATGGATGTTTGTAGCTGTCAGGCACTGGCTTTTTCATTCATTCTCTTGGAACTCATTGATAAAAATGCATTTGTGTATAGAGTGGCCAAACACTTGCTGCTTTAAAGAGGCCATTTTTTATCTGTCAGTAGTCTATATCTAATTTAGTTAACACAATGCATGTTGAGTCAAATGAGGGTACCACTGTGTATTTTCTTCCTTAACACTTGGCATTAAGTAATCTGGAGCACAGTGAAGTATTTATTAATGCCAAAGAGTACATGATACCATACGTCTCCTTAATACTCGATTCAGTTATGTGACATGGTTCTGTATCTAATGTGTTAACTGCATTATAAGAGAACAGTGAAAGAAGAGGAGAGGATTTTAAGGGAGTGATTTCAAGGACTGAGAGTATCCAGCAGGAAAAATATGCATGAAAAATTAGAACAGTGGAAATAGGGAAAAGCCAAAAAATACATATAGGATTAGGAAACAAAGTGACAGATGTGATAGAAGAGATGTGAGGACAAAGAGGACTTTCAAAATTGATTTTCTATCTATAAAGGCAGTAGTAAAACAGGTAGGTGAGACTGAGGTAGCTGGAGCTGAAGATGTATCACCAGAGGAAATTGTTGTGCCTACAGTTAGTTGCTTGTGGCTGTCAATGAAATTGAAAGGAACTACATATAAAATGGGTACAAGACAGTGTTCTCTGTCACAAGGCACATTTAGCTTTTGGAGCTCATTGTATTGTTGTGGACAGTAGGCAGTAGGACAGGAAAAAGGATTGTACCTTCATATTATTAACAACTCTCACAGGCGAAGGGGGCACATGCACACCCATACATATGTATAGTTAGAAGGAAGGAAAGAGGCTGTTTCAAAAGCAAAGCAGGATGCTTTTTGAAAGGGATATAAACTCTTGTGATTCGGGATATAAACCAGCTTCTCACCAGTATGTTCAGGAAGCAGATTTCCCTGCAAGCCAGTTATTCTGTTGCCACCTACCTGCAAGGCTTCATGAACCTTTCTATGTATCAGTTGGCTTCTTTTTCTTTCTTTTTACCTATGAAGCAGGGAGAATGCTTTCTTTGTTCCCGGTTAGGTTGGGAAAAATCTCAAATCCTCCGTAACTTTTCAAGAAAAATTCAAGTTCTTGACAAAAATAAAATGGACAGATATCTCCAAAAAGAAAAAATTAGAATAGTGTTAAATAAGCAGCTTTTTAAAATTTGGTACCCATTTTTATAGTGGAGGCTGCTAGGATAATGTGATTTCATTCTTAGCTTTAGATTTAAAAATCATAGGAATATAAATTGTTCTTTATTGCTTCAGTTACTTCTGGAAAACACTTATTTCTTAGTTTTCTAGTCTATTGAGTTGAACTAAGGATGTTTACTATGTTTTATTCCAAGTTCACCTTTTAAATGGTGTGCTGTCTCTGTGTAAAACATGTAACAAGCTACATTGAATTTCCCTTCCCCCACTTTTAAATACAATTCCTTTAGGAGAAAAAAAAAATGGAAGCATCTATGTTATACTGAGTAATTATGCCCCCTGGGAAATAGAATATAAAGATCTTTAAAATCATTCAACTGAGAGAACAAGCACTTTAACTTTTGCCTCGCAGGAGTCATGTATTACATTATCAGCTACTTGCTCCAGTGTCAGTGTGTCATGCCTTGCAGGTTAGCAGGTTTGGCAGAGGAAATGAAACCCAGTCAGTTACTGCAGGATTTATAGTAGACCTGCTGTTGCAGGAAGTGGTGAAAAGTTGATTGATAGTCTGAGGCAAAACTCTACAACAAGAAACAGGATGTATGTTTGTTATTTTATACCCGTTTTCCCATCTGCCCCCCCCCCCCATTTCAAGGCGCATTCTTATTTTTTGGTCTCTCTATTTATAAATAAATCCATGATGCAGTTTTCTGGTAGAGCATGTGCTGACTTCAAAACACTTGAGGAAATGAATATGGCTGTACCAAAGATTTGAAGCTGACATAGCATGCCTGCTTTATTAGAGGTGTTTATCTAAATGGTCCTGATACTTCTGTTGAATTACATTTCAGCTGAGTTACAAGTGAAAGGTAAAGCACATCTACAGACAGAGTATTGAACATCTCCTGCTATCATGGGTGCACCAAGCTAGCTGTGAAAGGAGGAGAATATATCGCTGAGATGGACGTGATCAGCTATGTTCTATCGGTTCATCTGCATTTAACAGGCATATCTGGAAGGGTGGTAAAACAGAATGGTTTTGCTGCATATAAACTTAATCCAGCAAGCCACATACTGTAGAGTTCACTGCTAAAGACGGCAATCCTGAAAAGGTTTGTTCTGAAATCTGTTTTCCCTTACTGTGCACTGCTAAAACATCAAAGAAGCAGTATCTTTTCTGAAAGCGTCACCGAAGACTTTCAGTAGGATATTTTCTAGCCTTGTGGGAAAAGTTACCCAAAGCAATAGTAATTATGAATACTTTTGAATTTTTTTTTCCCCATAACATCTACTTTTACCCTTATAATTGAAGAAGAAAGTTGTTTGCAAACCAAGTGGATAGTAGAAATGTTTAAGGTTTGTGTTCTCATTATCAAATGGGAGTTCTGTTTGTGAAGTTAAATAATATATCTTGTTCTTTGTTATAGGTCAAAAAAGTTGGCTGCGCTCTCTGAATCCTTGCAGAAAACCACACTAGCTAAGTCCCACATAGGATTTGAACTAGAAGAGCTGGAAGCAGCAGCAGTGCTGGTACAAGAGGAAGAGAGCATGTTAAAAGCTGCTGGCACAGTTTCCAAGCAACAGCTGCCTTCCTCTGAGTCGGAGACAAGTGACTCTGAAGAATCAAGCGGTACTTCATCATCTGAGACAGAAGGCTCTGATTCAGATGAGCGAGAGTCCTCAACCAGTGAAGATGGGAAAATAAATTCTTTACAAGGCATGCTTCAAGAGGAGAGGACAGCTCCACTTATTGACTGTAATGGATTAAGGCATGGCACAAACACTTCGACGTTTGAGGTTAGTGATGAAAAATCAAAGGTTTCTTTGCAATCTCCGACTCTTCCTGGAAAATTGATAGAAGAATTAGAAAAGCAAATGCACACTGCAATTAGACTTTCAGAACAGCCTGAAGGATTGGCTACTGCAAGCTGCATTTTACAGGAACAAGAAGAAAACTGTGTATCTGAGCCTGACAGATTTTCAAAAGATACTACTGGGAACGGAAATTTCTTGGAGGTGTCGTCAGAGACAAACCCATTGCTTTTTCTTCGCAGCATAAATAAAGATGAAGACTAAAGGACCGTGTTAGAACATGGTGTGACCCACTAGCAACACAGCTCATTGCTATAATGAGGTGTTCCCAAGGCTATCCTGAGCTGCAGGAAGAAGTTGATATTTTTATTCTTTGTTGTGTTGACAGTTTGGAGGACAAGACTGCTTTGAAAAGAATTGATACGACTGTATGATAGATACCCTCATAGTTAGATTTTTATTTTTCTTCTCTGATTCAACAGAGTCTCAGATTCAATCTCTGCATGTGTGAATGTGTAATGTCAGTAAACTTCCAGAAAGAGTTTTCATTAAGCTTATTCGGTAGTAGAATGATGTCCTAATCAAATACAACCGAAATGAGTTGTAGCATCATTTTAGTTATCTTTAGCTGTTGGGATTTACTTGAAAAATATCCTCCGTATGTTTGTATAAACTTGTTTATGACATTTTGCTGCATTTTTTTAAAGTTTTAAAATGCTTTATAGCTAACCACTTAAAAAATAACGGTTGTAACTTTAAAAGTCTAAATAGTGCTGACAAAATATTTTAAAATATATAAATATTTTCTATTTTTTGTACAAAATAAAGGCATTTGCTTTGTCATCAGTACAGGATAGAAGGGTTCTAGCTTGTATTTCTGCAGTTCTTATGTAAGTTATTTCAGCAATTTTGTCACATATTTATTCTTTTGTGCTGTTTTTGAAATGTTTCCACATGTGGAGACTACTGTTGCTCTTTAAAGAACAGAAATCCTAATTATTTCTTACTTTTTTCTGCATATGCTCTTAATATCGCCACAATAACGTTAACCAAAATGAAGAAACAACGTGGTACGGCGATCTTGAGTATACGACTGAAAGCAAACCTGTGCTGTCTAGACCTGGCTTTGTCTGTCACATAGCTTTGGCCAACTCATTTGCTCCTTTTTGTCGTTATAACTTTAAAATAATACAATCAGTCAATATATTTTGTGCTAATTTCTGTTAACTGTAGATAGGTTCTTGAAATCAGGTGGCTACTGCAAATTATATGCTGCTATTCAATCTCTACAGAAGGGTTTGGGAGGGAGGCGGGATGGGACATGGACCACCAGGTTTGGTTCAGCAGTCTGACAAAACCTCATTCATGCCTCTGGAGGAGCAATCCATGATTATTTTTTAACCTTTTTACTATTAAAAAGTCTATTAAAATACTAAGCTTAAAGACTTACTCTTCACCAATGCTACACCCTGCTGGAAATCAGCAGGCTAGCTCTGTTCATGTGCTGACTCCTGTTCAGTAAGAAGTGCAACACTGATCTGCCAATATTTCTTATGTTCTTAAATACCTACCGGTTGCTTAATCAGTCTCTGTGTTCTGTTCCCCAGGGGAGGAACCTTTCCCATCTTGCATGTCAGTGAGTACTTACTCTTCTAAATGCTAGCAATAAAATCTACACTGTAGCTGCAATTATGCAGCATGTCTGAGAGAGAAGAAATACGCTTAAGAAAAAAAAAAAGTAACCCTATTCCCTCTTTCCCCAAATTACAGGTATGAACTCTGAAACTTCCTTCAACTAAACATGGGCTGGAGAAGGCTGAATTAGGAAATACTCACTGTGAAAATTGATAGGTATTTGTAGTACGCCATGTCTTCAGCTCTTCCCCACCCCACTGTTTTTTTCTTCTTCTCCATTCTCCCGTTTTGTGGCAGAGGAGAATGTTTCTCTTTTTTCCAACAGACCTGCTTACTCTACTTACTTGCAGGCCCTTGCTGCCTCTTCTGGAGTGAGGACCTCTTTAGTTAATCTTTTTGTTCTTTCCTCTGAGTGCCTAAAAGCATGGTTTCTTAAAGCTATTTGTGAGCCTTTTCCATCTGTCTGCGTGAACCCACTTTGGGTGTAAATATCTGCAGTGTCTATACAGTGTGATGCCACAATAAATGCCAGATGAGAACATGGCACGTACACAGATGTTAACTCCCGGATAACTTTGATGTCACTGATGTCCTCACCTTTGAGACCCTGAGTGGTTGAGCTCCATTTCTGCCTCTGAAAACATACTGGTGCCTGCTCACTTCCCGCAGGTCTGCGGTGTGCTGGCGTTCCTTCTGCTTCTGTCCTGCTATTCCTCTGCACGTCTGCACTTGGGGAAATGTGCTGTGGTGTGCTGTGCCCTGAGGCCCGTTCCCACGTTTCTTCCCCTTTTTGTCCAATGTTGACGTTCATTATTGCCTTTTTTGTGAAACTCTTATATTTACTGGTTGTGGAGCTGATAACGAATTGTGACTGTTATATATTGATTGATAGCAAATTTATGTGACCTTTGTAGTGGTGGGGTGAGAAGTTTTTTCCACATTGGGTGATAAAATTTCACGTGTGGCTGCATTATCCAGCACACCCAGAGTGCTCAGGATGAGCAATGTCTGTATGAAAGAAAAGCCTTGCTTCTCCAAAAAGAACACGGAGATGCTTCTTTTAGAAAAGTGGAGCTCTGTAACCTTGTTTAGCCAAAACTAAGGATTGCCGAATCCATGAACCACAAACACTTGGGAAAAACAAAAAAAACCCTAAACGCCACCACCACACCAACCCCTCAATCCAATAAGCTGCTGTGGGTTCTGAAAGAAGTGAGTGAACTCCAATAAGGAGTCAAATTTATGTAGAGGAGCTATTCGGATGAATCCATAGGAATTGTTCTTATGCGGGTTTTCCAGGCTGGAAATTGGAACTTGATACATTGGTAGTCCATTTTTTTGGTTTTAAAATTCTCCTTGTTTCTAGTGCCCTCCCCTCCCATCCACCCAAGCTTATTTGTAGCACAGCCAATACTTTGTTTTAAGGCATTTGTTGCTCATCATCGTAATCAGTCAGAAGAGAAAAGAACTGCAGTGTCTGGACAAAATCCCTACTGAAAATAAGTTTGGATATGAGCTAAGCCTGAGAGGGGAAGAGCTGTGGCATTTTGCTGGAGGAGGGGAAGGCGGTTGTCTGAGGTGTGCAGAGCGTTCTGGGGGAGAGATTAAATGGAGTTAGAAATATAATTTGTTCAATGTTTTGCTATTAATCGGTTAACTTAGCCTAAATCTCTGATACTAAGTAGAGCATTTTGTCTTGACCTCATTTTGTGGGAGTGGTGCAGAGCTCCCCTGAAGTCGACTAAGGTGGCCATGGGAAAATGGCTCCGGTTAAAGTCCTGACACTTCGCTGCCGCAGTAGACTCTTGTTGGGACAGCACCGACCTCCGTTCTTACCCAAACCCAAGCGAAGGTAAGGTCTCATTCCCAGCCCCACATCTTTGCAGAGATGTTTGTGAGCTGTCCTTGCAGAAAGCTGATCTTCCCGAGGAAGAGAATGGCAGCAGCCTGGATTCTTGCCTGGGGCCCCGGGAGAGTCTGTTCTCCATCCTGGCTGCTGCCTGGAGTGCTGCTCTTGCCAGGGATAGCAGGAGAGGGATCTGCAGGCCCTCGTGCGTATGTGCTAGCCCTGCTGTCTTGAGCTGCCTGAGTGTAACAGAGCCTTGGTAAATGAGAACAAAGGCAAATCTGGTGCTCTCAAGCCTTGGCTCTGCTGCTTGGCAGGACTATGGGGGCAACACGGGGTGTGTGTGGAGGGGGGGAGTCCTTTGCATTCAGGATTTGGCTCTGAAAGGAGATGCAGTCACGTTAGACAGGGAGACACATGTTCACGTAGTGCTTTAAGGTGTTAAAAGCAACAGGTGAAATACTGGAAACAATCAGCAGAGAAACAAAACTTTTTTTTCTTTTTTGTCCTTGTCCATGGGGACAGTGTCACCCACAGGACATTGCCACCTTTTCATTTCTTTCCCCAAAGAAAAAATCGGTGCTGGATTGATTAAATAATTGATTTCTCTCCCCACCCCCATCTTTTTTTAATTCCAGCCAGCTTTCTGAAAAGTTTTGTAAAGGCCTTGCTCTATATCAAAAGAAGAAAGCATTGATTAGACTTGATTTACTACAGTAAATGACAAACATGGCAAAGAAATTGATTCATAGCACTGGAGTGAAGGGGCCAGACAACCCTCTGCCGTTGACACAGCTGAATATTGTCAAAGCCTAAGCTGACTGTCTCAAGGCTGGAGAAAACAAACAGGGAAACACATGTCAAACAGATAAATAGCTCTGCTGTTTAGAGCTCTCCATGGAGGCCATTTGTCTCCAAGATAAGGAAGAATGCACTCCAGAGCTGTGAGAAGATAAGCTGGGAGAACAAAATGAATATGGAATTGCTATAGTCGTACTTGAGCGTTTACACGCAGAGCAAATACAGTACCCCCACCCTGGGGGTCTCTACTGTGAGCAGGGTGCAGCACCCAGGGAAATGTCTGAAGTGAACTTGCAGACTTTTCTTAAATGTTTCAGCAGTGGATGATGTTTACACCTATATAGCATACAAACAAATGGTATTGGTGTCAGTTGTCTTCGCAAGTCACTAATTTTAAAGTCTTTTCTGAGCCTGTCGTGGATCTGTTTCTCTCCTTTTTAGTGGTAAGTGGGCTGCAGCCAGTGGTTATGTGGGCATGTGTGAGGCATGATTTTGCGTTGACACAATAAATTTGGGTATGTAGTATTGTGGTACCCATAAATCATACTCTTTTTATATTCTTAGGTTTTGGAGAAGCAACAGTACCATTTTCACAAGTACTGCATTTGGAGACCTGACTTAGATTGTATCTGAAATGCGTTTGGTAATGTTGGTTTGCATTTCATTAAACCTTTTCTCATACTCAGAAGCCACAATGCAATTGAGCACAGTTGGCGGCATTTTGGAGGATGCTTGAGGACAAGAACTAAAGCTGTGTCCCTTAGGTGAGGACTAAGATGTTGGCAGAGCTCCCCGAAGGACAGCTTCCTTTAGTAGGGTAGTGCTGGTTAGTGATTAGCGTGGAAAAGAACAGAAAGTTTCAGGTTTATAAACTAGCAAGGTCAGCTAGGTGGTAACCTCATTAACCAGTAACCCCAGGAGCTCAGTGGCCAGTCCCTCTCTTCGCTGTTGATGTCCTGAGTGACTTTGCAAATCATTTTCCCCAGTTTCACAGAGGTACTGGGCCTGACTCGGGAAGATCCAGACTTTGGAAAAGGAATGCAGAAATACAGTAAAAAGGAACAAAGCTCAAATCTGATAGCAGAGACTTCTTTCTCTGCTACTGACTTGGGCTGAGCAAGGCCAAGAGGCTAAAATCTACAATTTCTGATGTATTCTTAA